GGTGACGGTTGCTGAGCGGGGGTCACCCCCTCCGCCACCACGCACCCCGTGTGTCCTTCACGGTTGGCGCCCCTGGAATCTCTTCCGGCCTCGGGGGTCAGGAAGGAGAAGAGGCTGATGCTTTGCCGTGGTGTCTCCCCGGGAGTCATTGGGGAGCCCCCAGGGGGTGTGGGGCGCGTGTCCCCTGAGCGGGACTTGACTAGGTGGGAGCTGCCCTCGCGGGTGTCTCTCCTGGGGGTTCCGCGGGGAGGCCCTGCTCCGCTGTCCCTGCTCACAGATGGCGTTTTAGGGGCGGCAGAAGCGGGTTCCACAGCAAAAATGGGGGTGGCCCGGGCCGGTGTTGCTCAGTGGGTAGAGCGTCGGCCTGCCGGCCCCGAAGGGTCTTGGGTTCGATTCCAGTCAGGGCACAGGCCCGGGTTGCGGGCACATCCCCAGTAGGGGGCGTGCAGGAGGCAGCCAATCCATGATTTCTCTCATCACTGATGCTTCTCTCTCTCTCTCCCTTTCCTTCCTCTCCAAAATCAATAAAAATCATATTTTTAAAAAATGGGTGTAATAGCTTCAGTCTCCTCACCCATGTATCCACTTTAAAAATTTTTTTTTATGGATTTCATAGAGAAAGGAGACGGGGAGAGAGAGACAAACATCAATGATGAGAGAGAATCACTGATCAGCTGCCTCCTGCATGCCCCCTACTGGGAATCGAGCCCACAACCCGGGCATGTGCCCTTGACCGGAATCGAATCCGGGACCCTTCAGTCCGCAAGCGGACACTCTACCCACTGAGCCACACCAGCCGGGCTTCACTTGGATAATGGAGGAGGGTCGGGTGACTCTGTTGGACCCTGTGGAGGAACCTGTGATAAAGTCTTGCCTCTGGTTAGTGAGACGTGAGTCCCCCAGTGAACTGGGGGGACTCCCTGAGGCCTGGGCATGAGGGCTCACCCCGGGCTGTGGGAGAGTTCATAAACCCCCAAGCACAGTGAGCGTAACTTCCGTCACTGATGTTAGGGGAAGTGGGCACTTACTGACCCAGGAACCGGCTCAGGAATGAGTGATGCCCCCCAGGTAGCACGCTGGCAGGCACCGCGTTTCGGGAGCTTGGGCGCAGCCCTGGCCGTTGGCTGGGGTTGTCCAGTCCAGTGCACGAAAGGTGCAGTTCCATCCCGGTCAGGGCACTTCCTGGGGGGTGGGCTCCATCC